ATATATATAGTTTGACAATACAAACACACAAACACACACACATAACATGCACACACACACAAACATGCATACGCACAAACATATGCACACACACAGACACCCGCACAGATACACACACACACACACATACACACACACACATACATATACCCATACACACACACAAATACACACACACACACATACACACAGACAAAGGCCGAGGAGCAAACGGCGCTCTAATTAGTGCAGAGTGTTAAGATTAGAACGAGAATGGAATGCTATGAAACAGATGGGTACAAATATGAAAACCAAAAGCGTTGTACCCCATAGTATGTACCCCACTATAGCCTACAAAGACTACAACACATACACTTTGACACAACCCCATAGGCAAAGTGGGGGAGAGCAAGGGGTCACAAGACCAGTCAGACAAAGCACAGCAAGCTCAGGGTGGATCACAACGTCACCACACATTCCGAGCACAAGCTCAAAGGCCACAAGGCCAGTTCACATGCAGGTTTAAATAAATATAAAGCTAAACATGCAAGTGCAGGTATATATAGGCCACAGTACAAACAAGGTCAAGAAGTGAGCAAGTGAGGAAAAGTAGGCACAAGACCTAACAGAGTACAGAAGCGCTGATGATCACAAGGCGGGAGTGCCTTGGTGAAGACATCAGCACTGTTGGCCTGAGAGGCCACGTAAGCAAGTCGTAGCTGACCACGCTGCTGCAGCTCACGAGCAAGGAAGTAGCGAAGAGCAATCTGCTTCGTTCTGTGCTCCAGTCTGTCCTCTCGTCACAAGGCCAGCATGACCTTGTTGTCTACGTACAGAACTGGAGGAGAACGAGGCGGCTCTCCAAGGTCAGTCATCAGGTAAGTGAGCCAGCGTAACTCCTGTGCAGCCATGGCCCCCGCGTAGATCTCAGCCTCACAGCTGGAGCTGAGAACAGAAGACGAGCGGGTAGACCGCCACGAAACAGAACCGGAACCAAGGCTGAAGGTGTAACCCTGTGACGGCCGCTGCGTAGCCAAGTCGTCAACCCAAGACGCGTCTGCGTGACCAGTGAGGACCACTGGACTCCGCCCTCCAAGCACTAGCCCCATGCCTAACGTACTGCACAAATAGCGCAACACCCTCTTCGCTGCAGCCATGTGCTCCAGTCTCTGTCTCCCAGGAGCAACATAGCGTGCCAAGATGCTATGAGGGTATGGAAGGTCAGGTCGAGTGCAGGTCATCAGGTACATGAAACAGCCAACAAGCTCTGGGTATGGGCCACTCGGCTCTACGGACTCATCCGAAGGCAGAGCTGAGAGCGAGTGGCGGGTAGACAGAGGAGTGGCCTAAGGCAAGGAGTACGTGAAGCCGAAGCGCTGAAGGACCTGCTGCAACATGTGTGACTGAGTCAGCGTAATGGTGCACTGTGCTCTGTCCCAAGTGATCTGCAAGCCAAGGTAGCTGCGCAGTTCACCCAGGTCTGTGCACGTGTGTCTCTTTTGCATCTCCGAATTCACGTAGGCAAGTCCAGCAGTGTCAGCTGTGGCAAAGACCAAGTCGTCGACGTACACGAGGATGTAGAACGGCTGCAAAGAGGTGTCGGTGCATAGAAACAGCGACGGGCCGGCACTAGAAGGAGCAAAACCAAGAGCCGCAAGAGTAGTCCTCTGTGTGTCGTGCCACTCACGGGGCACCTGGCGGAGACCGTAGACTGGCCGCTGGAGGCTCCACTGGGTACCAGGAGGAAACGACCCAGTGAAGCCAGGTGGGCAACACAGCCAGATCTCCTCGTGCAGGCTGCCTTGCAGGAAAGCAGTGCTGAAGTCAAGAGAGTGAAGCTCATAGTCGCGCTGAGCGGCTATGTGCAGCAGCACCCAAAGAGGGGTCATCTTCGGGGTGGGAGAGAAGGTCTGAAAATATTCAACTCCCTGCCACTGACTGAAGCCTCAAGCCACGTAACGTGCCTTGAAGACAGGCGGAGAACCCGACGGCCGCTTCACCCTGAAAATCCACATGCCACTGACGATGTTCGCCCCAGGTGGGGGAACTTCGTCAATGTAGGTGCCTGTGGACTTCCAGGAAGCCATCTCTGCGTCCATAGCTGCCTACCACTGAGATGAGTAGGGACACTCAACTGCCTCTGCGTAAGAGCGCGGAGTCGGGATGTCTGGTGCATCCGGGTCTCCCTCAGGGGCAATCAACATGGACACGAGATGAGGTAAAGCAGCAGCAAAGCACTGGAACCCCTCCTATCTGTCCTCAAGGCTGTCGTGCCAAGAGCACACTCACCCCCGACGGACGGAGGACAGACAGACTCAGACTCAGCAACAAGACTAGCAGCGTAATCTAGACGACAACAAGCAGCAAAGTCAACTAGCTCAGTAACTAAGGCAGACGCAGCAGTGGACTCAAAGGAAGGGTCAGTGACAACAGTAGCAAGGACACGCGTGACAGTAGGACTGGTAGCACGAAGGGAGTCCGACGCCGGGTCAGGAAGAGCAGGAAGAGAGGACTCTGGAGGAGACGGCAAAGGGACACGCAACAGAGGAGTGGAAGGACGCAGAGACATCCGGTGCGTACCGAGAACAGGGGGAGGACGCTGATGCGAACCCCGACCACCAGGGCGAGCAGCACGGACCGGCGACGCAGGACGAGATGCAGGCTCACGACGCTCAGCAAGACCTCTAGTAGGACGTGTGCAGGGAGAAGGAGCAGGCAGAGGGGAGGCGGGCTGTAACTGTGACCCAGACAGGACCGGCAGTGGACACTCTAAGGGAGGAGCAGGACCAGTAGAGGGCGGAAGACCAAGAACCTGCTCAAGGAGCGGAACGAAGTACGGCCGCGGCCGCGCAGCGCCCCCAGAACCAGCATGTACAGCACCAGCACCCCCACCGGTAGCACCAGCTGCAGTAGCACCTCCAGCTCTAGCAGCGCCAACACCAGCACCCTCAGAAGCACCAGCACCTCCAGCGCCAACACCCCCAGCAGCTCTAGCTCCAACCGGACCACCAGAAGACGCAGCAGCTCTAGCGCCAGCACCTCCAGCTCCAGCTCCAGCACCTCCAGCAGCACCGACTCCAGCAGCACCGCCAGCTCCAGCACAAGGAGCACCCATAGGCCCAGCAGCTCCAGTACCTCCAGTACGAGCACCTCCGGGACCCGCCGCACCAGCACCCTCAGCAACAGTAGAACCTCCAACACCAGCAGCACCTCCAGCTCCAGCAGCACGGCTCCAGCGCCGAGAAAACCACCAACGCAGCTCCTGCGGAGAGAGTAGCTCCCGCCGGGACGAAGCAGCCAAAGGGCCTCCAGGCCCAGTACCGCTAGACGCCACACGAGCAGGCCCAGTACTCCCAGGCTCCGCACCCCCAATCTCAGCAACCCCAGGCTCAGCACCCCCAGACCCAGCACCCCCAGGCTCAGCACCGCTAGACCCAGCAACCCCAGGCTCAGCACCCCTAGCAGCACCAGAGTCAACAGCTACCTCGACAGGCTCAACTGCGTCTACCTGGGACTCACCTGAGGGGAAAGGACCCTGAGGGGGAAGGGGATCTACTAGGGGGGGACCTGGGGTGAGGAAGAGCGGCGGCGGGGGGAGGGGCGAAGTGCGGTCGGGGAAGAGACGGTAGTAGGGAACCGACTCGTCAAACATGACGTCCTGGGAGGACAGAACACAGCGCGAGGTGGGGTGGTAAAACTGCCAACCAGGCGCGTCAGGGGGGAAAGTCTGAGCGGAAACTCTCTCTGAGTTGGAGACGAGCTGCGCGGATCCAGTCGATCAACACCTCAGTAACGTCATCCTTGCTGCGCAAGGGGAAGACTGTGGTGTAACGTGAGTAGTCGTCAACCACCAGCAGGAAGTAACACTCGTGACCCTGTCCACGGACGCGGGCTGGGCCCCACACGTCCATGTGAAGCGTCTGCAGCGGAGCCTCTGCCGGAGGAAACTCGGATGAGTGAGGAGCAGCGCGCTGCCGCCCCTCGACACAGGGAACGCATGTAGGGGCAAGCACCGGAGGAAGGGGAGGGAGGGACCGGGGGAGACCAGAGACAAGAACACGGGAGGCCATGCCTCGGAGACGAGGCAGGGAGGGGTGACCAAGGCGGTGGTGCGAGAGGAGAATCTGGTGAGACAGGAGACTACACGAGCAGGGGGCAGACTCAGGACCAAACCTGGACGGGGCAGTAAACACCTGACCCGATGCAGCTACCTGACCAGACTCAGCGACCAGAGGAGGGTCAGTACTCAGTGTGTACAGGCTCGATCCCGGGTGACGGGTAAACGTGGCCAAGTGTCGGCCCGTCGGAGCACACGTACAGTGGGTCACTCGCTGACTCGCAGGAGTGAACTGGTGAACTTCTCCATCCTATAGGTCAGCACCACTCACCAAGTTCGTAGAGAATGAGGGGAGGTAAAGACCGGACAGGGTTCCAGAAGGGGCCGCCGGACACGGTAAGACAGTGGAGAAGTGGGCAACGACAGGACCCCAAGAGGGGTCTGTCAAAGAGACCACCACTGGCCGACGAAGCGGCGTGAGTGTGGTGCGGTCTCAAAAGAAGGAGCGGGAAGCACCCGAGTAAAGGGTAAAGGTGTGAGAGGCCTGAGCCGACGTGGTACCTGAGAGAGCAGACGCACCAGCACCTGGGGCAACAAACGCACTAGCACCTAGAGGAGCGGCCTCACCAGCACCTAGAGCAGCAGCCTCAATGCCCGGGTCAAGCGGGATACACAGGTAACAGTCACCCTCATCACTAGTAGAGACATCATACATGGCAGCAAGAATAGCATCATATTCTACATCAAAGAAAGCAACCCCCGACCTATGTAGCTCGCCCCAGCGAGGGATCTCAGTGGCGTCAGGGAAGTGGAGATGCCAAGCGTCCATCAGGCGGCCGAAGCAGCACTGGGTGGCGTGCTGGCCACCGCACGTCTCACCAGTGCGGTCGCCGGTAAGCAGGACGTAGGTACAGGGACCAGCACCCCCACCCCGCTGACGCGCAGCGTACCACTGACAAAGCTGCTAGACGGACGGGGTCTCACGAGCGCGCTGCTGCTGCTGGCGCTGACCACCACCGGAGCCGCCCCTCTGCGCAGAGCCACCACGACCAGCGCCACCGCCGCCGCCGCTACCTCCACCACCGCTGCCACCGCCGGCTCCTCCGCTCCCACCGCCACCGCCGCCGCCTCCTCCGCCTCCACTACCGCCACCGACGCCCCCACTCCCGCCACCACCCCCACCACCACCCCCACCCCCTCTGCCGCCTCCACCGCCACCTCCACCGCCCCCAGCAGCCACTCCAGCGCCCTTGCCCCCCTTGCCCTTGCCTGTGCGGCGTCTCCCACTAGGGGCAGACGCCGCGCCGACCGACTCAAGACCAACGAGGTCGGCCGCAGCAGCAGAGGCAACAGAGGGCAAGAGGGGGGAGGGGGAGCTCCCCTTAAAGAACGGGGTACGAGGCTCCTACAGTGACTATACCCTTCTCTGCTGCTAGGAGGCGCTCCTCGAGGAGGTCAACGGTGAGAGTGGTGGGGCAAACAGAGAGGAAGTGGTCCCTGACCGAGCGAAGGGAGTCAGGGAGCCGGGTGACTATGTAGTAGAGGGTGATGTACATGGGGGGGGGGGGGGTTCTTGGCGCATTTTTCAGCAGAAAGTGCAGCGCGGTAGCGGGTGTCACTAGTGCGAAGGTGCGTAATGAGGTCGGCGACTGTGGGAAAAGTGGCGAGGTCGGGGAACAGGTACGGCAGCATGAGGCGGCTAAGGGCAGCAGTGGCAGGGGAAGAGTAGCGTGCAACTACAGCGTCGTACAAGGTCTTAGCACTCTTGTACTGACTAAAATGCGCACGCTCAGTGGTCGGTAAGTGACGGCGCACAGCAAGACGGGCAGCAGCATCTCGTGTGGCCCACTGTGAGCGAACAGTGCTGTCAGCATCAGCAGCAGGGGCAGGAGAAGCACCAGACGTGAGGTCAAACAGGGAGAGACCGTTTGTCCTATCGCACTGTAGGAAAAGCCGCAGATCATCGACCCAGACCTCAAATTCAACAGCCCGACCCTCAGCATCAAAGGTAAGAACACTAGGGGTAGCCATGACAGCAGTAGGCTAGCAGTGAGAGGAGTAGGCTAGGTGCAGCGCAGTAGCAGAGGCTCTGCTCGAGAGTTCTCTTACCAGGTGGGTAGGTCCGAGGCGCGCCGGCAGGGACAGGGCCGCGAGTGCAGAGACGGCGTGCCTCGGCTGCGGCGGCAGCGGCGGCAGCTGCGGCTGCGGCTCAACGACGGCGGCGGCGGCTTGACAGCGGCGGCGGCTCGACGGCGGCGACGGGTGCGGCTCGACGACGGCGGCTGCGGCGGCGGCAGGGCCAGGGTGGCAGCCGCGTTGGCGATGGCGGCGGCGGTGGCCGGCAGTGGCGGTGGCTGCAGTCGGGAGCGGCGGCGGCTGCACGGCAGAAGTGGTCGTTGCTGCTGCTGGGCCGGGGAGGGGCCATGCGGTGCCGAGAGGAGGCCGCGAAGGGCGGCGACGGGGCCGCGAAGAGGCCGCTAAGAGCGATGACGGGGCCGGGAAGGGCGGCTACGGGGCCACGAAGTGCGGCGATGGGGCCGCTAGGGGCGGCGACGGGGCCGCTAGGGGCGGCGACGAGGCTGCTAAGGGCGGCGACGGGGCCGCAAAGGGCGGCGACAGGTCCGCTAAGGGCGGCGACGGGGCCGCGAGGGGCGGCGACGGGGCCACTAAGGGCGGCGACGGGGCCGCTAAGGGCGGCGACGGGACCGCGAGGGGTGGCGATGGGGCCACTGGGGGGGGGCGACGGGGCCGTTAAGGGCGGCGACGGGGTCGCTACGGGCGGCGACGGGGCCGCGAGGGGCGGCGATAGGGCCGCGAAGGGTGGCGACGGGGCCGCTACGGGCGGCGATGGGTGTTAGAAAGAAGAAGTGGTGGACTAGAAAGGAAAGGGAGTACAAGTACCTAACCCTAGAATTGTGTACCCCCTAAAGGCTAACCCATTGTAGCCTACACAAATACAACATATATAATGTTTGACACACCCCCATAGGCTAAGTGGGGGAGAGCAAGCGGTCACAAGACCTGTCAAGGCAAAGCAAAGCAAGACAAGCTCAGGGTGTATCTCAAGGATACCACACAAATTCCAAGCACAAGCAAATGGTCACAAGACCAGTTCACATGCAGTTTGATAATAGAACAAGAGGTACAGTGATCATAGCCTAGCAAGTGTAAGCATGCAGGTATATATATAGAGATCATAGTACAAGCAGAGTCAAGAAGTGAGCAAGTGAGGGAGAGTAGGCACAAGGCCTAGAACAGTACAGAAACGCTGATGATCACAAGGTTGAAGCGCCTTGGTGAACACATCAGTAGTGTTGGCCCGAGTGGCCACGTACGAGAGACGAAGCTGACCCCTCTGCTGCACCTCTCGCGCTAGGAAGTAGCGCAGAGCGATGTGTTTCGTTCTGTGCTCCAGTCTATGCTCCTCACACAAGGCAATGGCTGCCTTGTTGTCGATGTACAGCACTGGAGGAGAACGAGGCCGCTCTCCGAGGTCGGTCAGCAAGTAGGAGAGCCAACGTAGCTCCTGGGCCGCCATGGCTGTGGCGTAGATCTCAGCCTCACAACTGGAGCCGAGAACAGAAGAAGAGCGTGTAGAACGCCAGGAAACAGAGCCAGAGCCAAGGCTGAAGGTGTAACCCTGAGACGACTGCTACGTATCCTGGTCGTCAGCCCAAGAAGCGTCTGAGTCTCCAGTGAGGACAACGTCGCGCCGTCCTCCAAGCACAAGCCCCATGCCCGACGTACTGCACAGGTAACGCAACACCCTCTTAGCGGCATCCATGTGCTCCTTCCGGTGACGGCCAGGAGCGACATAGCGTGCTAGGATGCTAAGAGGGTATGCAAGGTCAGGTCGAGTGCAGGTCATCAGGTACATGAGGCAGCCCACAAGCTCTGGATACAGGCCACTCGGCTCTACGGACTCATCCAAAGGCAGAGCTGAGAGTGAGTGACCGGTAGGCAGAGAAGTGGGCTGAGGCAAGGAGTACGTGAAGCCAAAGCGCTGAAGGACCTGCTGCACCATGTGTGACTGCGTCAAGGTGATGGTGCGTTGTGCTCTGTCCCGGGTGATCCGCAAGCCAAGATAGCTTGTCAGTTCACTCTGTGCACGTGTGTCTCTTCTGCAGCTCCGACTTCACGTGGGCGAGTGCCTCAGTGTCAGAAGTAGCAAAGACCAAGTCGTCGACGTACACGAGAACGTAGAATGGCGGCAGAGCGGTGTCGGTGCGTAGAAACAGCGACGGGTCAGCTGTAGAAGGAGCAAACACAAGAGCTGCAAGCGTAGTCCTTAGTCCGAAGCACTAAAGGACCTGCTGCAACATGTGTGACTGAGTCAGGGTAATGGTGCGCTGTGCTCTTTCCCAAGTGATCTGCAAGCCAAGGTAGCTGCGCGGTTTACCCAGGTCTATGCACGTGTGTCTCTTCTGCAGCTCCGACTTCACGTGGGCGAGTCCAGCAGTGTCAGCTGTGGCAAAGACCAAGTCGTCGACGTACACGAGGATGTAGAACGGCGGCAAAGAGGTGTCGGTGCATAGAAACAGCGACGGGCCGGCAGTAGAAGGAGCAAAACCAAGAGCCGCAAGAGTAGTCCTCAGTGTGTCGTGCCACTCACGGGGCGCCTGGCGGAGACCGTAGAATGGCCGCCGGAGGCTCCAGTGGGTACCAGGAGGGAACGACCCAGTGAAGCCATGTGGGCGGCGCAGCCAAATTTCCTCGTACAGGCTGCCCTGTAGTAACGCACTGCTGAAGTCAAGAGAGTGGAGCTCGTAGTCACGCTGGACGGCGACGTACAGCAGAACCCGAAGAGTGGTCATGTTCGGGGTCGGGGAGAAGGTCTGGAAGAAGTCAACTCCCTCTCACTGACTGAATCCTCGTGCAACGTAACGCGCCTTGAAGACAGGCGGAGAACCCGGCGGCCGCTTCACCCTGAAATCCACATGCCACTGACGATGTTCGCCCCAGGTGGGGGAACCTCGTCGACGTAGGTGCCTGTGGATTTCCAGGAGGCGATCTCTGCGTCCATGGCTGTCTGCCACTGAGAGGAGTAGAGACCCTCCATCACCTCTGCGTAGGAGCGTGGGGTCGGGATGTCTGGTGCATCCGGGTCTCCCTCAGGGGCAACTAGCATGGACACTAGATGAGGCAAAGCAGCGGCAAAGCACTCAAACTCCTCCTGTCTGTCCTCAAGGACGTCCGTGCCAAGAGCACACTCACCCCCTAAGGACGGAGGACCGAAAGACTCAGACTCAGCAACAAGGCTAGCGGCTTAGTCTAGACGACAGGCGGCAGCAAAGTCAACAAGCTCAGCGACTAGAGCAGACGCAGCAGAGGACTCGAAGGAAGGGTCAGTGACAACAGTGGCAAGGAGATGCGTGACAGTAGGACTGGCAGCACAAAGAGAGTCAGACTCCGGGTCAGCAAGAGCAGGAAGAGAGGACGCAGGAGGAGACGGCAGAGGGACACGCTGTGGAGCAGTGGAAGGACGCAGAGTCATATAGTGAGTGCCAGGAACAGGAGGAGGTCGCTCTCGCGGAGCACGACGACCAGCGCGGACAGCACGGACAGGTGACTCTGGACGCGACTCAGGCGACGCTGGACGAGACTCAGGCGACGGAGGACGAGACTCAGGCTCACGACGCTCCGTAAGACCTCTTGTCGGCTCAGCGTAAGGAGAAGGACCAGGTAGTGGAGAGGCTGGCTGTAACTGTGACTGCGACTGGACAGGCGGTGGACTCAGTAGGGGAGGAGAAGGACCAGTAGAGGGCGGGAGACTAAGAACCTACTGAAGGAGCGGAACGTAGTACGGCCGCGGCCGCTCAGCACCTCCAGCGACAACCCCCTCAACAGGCCCAGACCCAGAAGCTCCAGTACCTCCAGTACGAGCACCCCCAGGACCAGCGGCTCCAGCAGCTCCAGCAGCACCAGCACCAGCAGCACCTCCTGCTGCGCCAGCAGCACTGCCAGCAGCAGCAGCACCTCCAGCAGCTCCAGCAGCACCAGCGGCACCTCCAGTAGTAGCAGTACCTCCAGCAGCTCCAGCAGCACCAGCACCAGGAGCACCTCGAGTAGCGCCAGCAGCAGCACCTCGAGCAGCTCCAGCACCAGCAGCACCGCCAACAGCAGCAGCATCTCCAGCACTAGGGTCCGCGGCACTAGGAGCGTAACTCCGGAGACTGCACTGCCGAGTGTACCACTCTCGAAGCCGCTGGGGAGAGGGCAGCTCCCGCCTAGGAGGGGAAGCACTAGCACCAGCTCCATCAGCACTCCTAGCTCCAGAAGCACCCCTCCTGAGGCTGCACTACTGTAAGTACCACTCTCGTAGCTCCTGTGAGGAGAGAGCTCCTCCAGGTGAAGCACGCTCAGCCTCAGCACCCTCAGACATAGCACACCCAGGCTCAGCACCCCCTGGCGCAGCACCCCCAGACTCTGCACCCCCAGGCTCCGTACCCCCAGGCTCAGCACCCCCAGGCTCCGCACCCCCAAGATCCGCACCCCCAGGCTCCGCACGCTCAGGCTCCGCTCGCTCAGGCTCAGCACCCCTAGCCGGACAAGAGTCGACAGCTACCTCGACAGGCTCAACCGGGTCTGCCTGGGACATACCTGAGGGAGCGGCACCCTGAGGGGGGAAGGGGTCTACCACAGCAGCACCTGGCGCGAGGAAGAGAGGCGGGGGGGGGAGAACGGGGCAGTGTAGTAGGGGAAGAGGCAGTAGTAGGGCACAAACTCGTCAAAAGTGACTTCCTGTGAGGGCAGGACACGGCGCGAGGTGGCGTGGTAAAACTGCCAACCAGACACGTCCGGGACAAAGCCAAGGAAGACACAAGGAACAGCGCGGGAGGAGAGCTTGTCCGCTGACGTATCGCGAACAAAAGCTCGAGAACCCCGGACCCGAAAACGCGACGCATCACCAACCTCTCCGTCCGACGCAGTGTCGGGGAAGTCTCCGGCAAGGAGACACGGGGCCAGAGGTTGAGCTGATGCGCAGCGTATCGGACCGCAAACGGCCACAGAAAGTGGGGGGCATCCGCATGGATCAAGGAGGTACGAGCGACCTCCATGACCAAGCCAATGCGGCGCCAGCAACCCCATTCTGCTGTGGAGAGGCCGGAAGCGTGAACGACTGGCGGATGCCGTGCTCCGCACAGTAGGCTGCCAAGAGGTCGGAGGAGAACTCACCACCTCTGTCAGAGTGCAAACGCAGGACAGGAAAGTCCGAGTGGAAACGCTCACTGAGCTGGAGATGAGAAGCGCGGATCCAAGGGATCAAGACATCAGGGACCTCACCCTTGGTGCGCAAGGGGAAGACCGTGGTGTAGCGCGAGTAGTCGTCAACAACGATCAGGAAGTACCTCTCCTGACCCTGTCCACGGACGGGGGCTGGGCCCCACACGTCCATGTGGAGCGTCTGCAAGGGAGCAGTCGTCGGGGGAAACGAGGAGGAGTGAGGAGCGGCGCGCTGCCGCCCCTCGACACAGGGAAGACAGGGAGGAGTAGGTGAGGGTGGGAGGGGAGGGAGAACCCTGGGAAGACCAGAGACAAGGTACCGTTCGTGCATGGCACGAAGGCGCTGCACTGACGGGTGACCAAGGCGGTGGTGCCAGAGGATGGTCTCGTGTGCTAGAGAGCGACACGAGTAGGGGGGAGACAGCTGACCTGAAGTAGACGCAGACGCAGCTACGTGAGGGGACTCAGTGGTCAGTGTGTACAGGTCCGACCCGGCTGCCGAGTGAAGGTAGCCAGGTGACGGCCCGTCCGAGCACACGTGCAGTGTGTCACGCACTCGTAGGCAGGGGTGAACTTGTAGACACCCCCGTCCTGGAGCGCACAACCCGCCACCAAGTTCGTAGAGAACGAGGGGAGGTGGAGACCTAACAGTGTGCCCGACGGAACCGTAGGACAAGGAAGGACAATGGAGGAGGTCGCAATGACCGGACCCCCAGAGGGGTCAGCAGGGGAGACAGCAACTGGCCGAGCAAGCTGCTCAAGGGCAGTGCGGTCACGAAAGAAACAGTGAGAAGCACCTGAGTCCAGTGTGAAGGTGTGCAGTGCCTCAGTAGACTCAGTACCAGGGGGCGCAGACTCACGAGCACCTAGAGCAGTAGCCTCACCAGCACCTAGGGCAACAGACGCACTAGCACATAGAGCGGTAGCCTCACTGGTCCGAATGCCCGGGTCGGGCGGAACACGCAGGTACTGAGCACCCTCTCCACTAGTAGACGCCACATACATGGCAGTGAGAATAGCATCAAAGTCTAGAGCATAGATATCAATGTTTTTCTTCATCAGATCAGCCCAGCGGGGCAGCTTAGTGGCAGCAGGGAACTGAGTACGCCAAGCGTCGTCGAGGCGGGAGAAGCAGCGCTGCGTGGTGTGCGCCCTCCCACACGTCTGACCAGTGCGATCACCTGTGCGGATGACGTATGTGCAGCTAAGTCCACACCCCCCCCCCCCCCCCCCCCGTGCTGAGAGTACCACTCACGAAGCTCCTGGGGCGACGGAGTCGGCTGCTGGCTCTAGCCGCCGCCAGCGCCTCCACGACCACCACCTTCGCCGCTGCCACCCCGTCCACCACCGCCCCTGCCGCCTCCGCGTCCACCGCCGCCACCACCACCGCCCCCGCCCCTGCCACCTCCCCCGCCGCTGCCGCCACCACCCCCACCGCCGCCACTAGCCCCTCCAGCCCCGCCACCACCCCCACCGCCGCCACCACCCCCACCACCGCCTCCCCCGCCGTCACCTCCACCTCCTTTGCCCCCTCTGCCCTTGCCACTGCGGCGCCAACTCGGAGTGGACGCAGTACCGACCTGCTCAGTACCAACTAGGTCGACAGCAGCAACAGAGGCGACAGAGGGGAGAAGGGGGGAAGGGGAACACCCCTCGAAGAAAGGGGTGCGGGGGTCGCCACGAGAGGCACCTACAATGACTATGCTAGTCTCGGCTGCAAGCAGTTCCTTCTCGAGGAGGTCAATGGTGAGCTCAGTGGGGCAGCGAGCTAGGAAGTGGTCCTTGACTGAACGCAGAGTGTCAGGGAGGCAAGTGACCAGGTGGTAGAGAGTGAGCCAGAGCGGGGGGGGGGTTCTTGTCAAGAGACTCAGCGGGCATAGCACCACGGAAGCGGGCCTCACTAGTGCGGAGGTGCGTGATGAGGTCAGAGACTGTAGAGAAAGATGACAAGTCTGGGAACAAGTAGGGGAGCGAGAGACGGCCTAGTGCAGCAGAGGCAGGTAAGGAGTAGCGCGCAACTACAGCAGTGTACAGTGCCTGCGCAGTTTTGTGTTGGCCAAAGTGCTCGCGCTCATCTACCGGCAGGGAGTTGCGAATAGCGAAGCGAGCGTGAGCGTCACGAGTCTGCCACTGTGAGCGGGCAGTAATGTCAGCTGTAGCAGCAGGGGAAGTAGCATGGCCTAGCGCGTGATCGTACAGTGAGATATCCTCCTTGGCAGTGAGCTGGAGGAATAGGTGTAAGTCATCGAGCCAGATCTCAAACTTCAGTGAGCGGCCCTCAGCATCGAAAGCTAGCACAGAAGGACTAGCCATAGTTGCAGTGGCAGTAGTAGTAGGAACTGCAGTAGTAGGAACAGTAGGGCGGCACGGCACTGCCTAGGCGGCGCGGCTCGGTTCGGGCGGCGCGGCTCGGTTCGGGCGGCGCGGTTCGGCTCGGGCCGGGCTACGGGGCAGTGCGAGACGGGGGGGGCGTGCACACGGGCGGCTGTAGTGGGCGGGCCGTGGCCTTGCGTGGGCCTGACTAGCACGTGGGCGGCCTAGCGGGCGGCGGCGCGGCCTACGGGCGGGGCTGCCGGTCGTTAGCGGGCTACGCGCGGCTAGGAGGGCCCGTCGAAGGACTGCTAGCGGGCGGCGCGTGGCAGTGTGGGCGGCTAACGGGCGGCACGCTCGCAGAAAACGCCACGCGCGGGCTGCTAGGGGGCGACGCACGCGAGAAAAAAAAGGCCGCGTGCAGCTCTACTGAGCTGCGCACGGGCAGTAGGAGACAGCGAGGCGCACGAGGGCGCACTAGGAGAAAGGCGCTCGAGGGCGCTTCGAACGGAACGGTGGGCCCTAAGGAGCGATCCTAGGTCTAAACCTACGCTCTTAATACCATGTTAGAAAGAAGAAGTGTTGGACTAGAAAGGAAAGGGAGAACAAGTACCTAACCCTAGAATTGTGTACCCCCTAAAGGCTAGCCCACTATAGCCTACACAAATACAACATATTTAATGTTTGACAATGGGGCCGCGAGGGGCGGCGACGGGGCCGCTAAGGGCGGCGACGGGGCCGCTAAGGGCGGCGACGGGGCCGCTAAGGGCGGCGACGGGGCCGCTAAGGGCGGCGACGGGGCCGCTAAGGGCGGCGACGGGGCCGCGAAGGGGACGCGAGGGGCCGTGAGAGGGGGCTCTAAGAGGGCGCGACGGGCCGCTAAGGGCAGGGGACGCGACGGGAGGGTGGCCCACGGGGCGCGCTTCGGGCAGGGGCGACTCGCGCTCCGGGCAGGAAATTTTTTTTTTTAATCAATTTTCAGTGGTGGGCCCGAGGAAGCGTTCCCACTAGGGAACCTGCTCTATACCATGTTAAGATTAGAACGAGAATGGAATGACTATGAAACAGATGGGTACAAATATGAAAACTAAAAGCGTTGTACCCCATAGTATCTACCCCACTATAGCATACAAAGACTACAGCACATATACTTTGACAGTGAGTAAGCTTAGGTGCTTAGGAAGAGAGCTGGGAAGGAAGAAGGGATTTCAATAAGAAAGGGGCCACAAGATATAGAAAACGAGAGCAAGAGCTAGAGGTGCACCAAGGAAGTTATCCGCTTAGATAATGCACGCATGTCATGTCAGAATATTATCTTATTGTTCTAGCCTGTAGTGGGGTGCTCTATAGCGAGTACAACCCTTCTAGGGTTTGCTATTTGTATCCTCATTCTTGCTAGTTCAATCCTCTTTCTTCCTTTAATTTGACATGCTATCAGAGCAGGTCGATCCCCTTGGATCGATCCTGTGGGTGTGTCCCCACCTTGCTTCCGCTGCTAGTTTTTCCTCCCGCCGTGCGCCCCGAGGCGCGCGGCGGTTTTCTGCCCGCCGTGCGCCCCGAGGCGCGCGGCGGTTCATTGCCCGCTGTGCGCCCCGAGGCGCGCGGCGGGCTTCTCCCCTACATCGCGGCCCCGCCCCGATCGTCGCGGCCCCGCCCCTTGACGCGGCCCCGCTCTACGTCGCGGCCCCGCCCCGGCCCGTCGCCGCCCGTGCGCCTGCCCGGCTCGGCCCCGCCCTTCGTCGCGGCCCCGCCCCGGCCCGTCGCCGCCCGTGCGCCTGCCCGGCTTGGCCCCGCCCTATGTCGCGGCCCCGCCCTACGAAGCGGCCCTGCCCTACGTCGCGGCCCCGCCCCGACCGTCGCGGCCCCGCCCCTCGTCGCGGCCCCGCCCCTGCGTCGCGGCCCCGCCCCTCGAAGCGGCCCCGCCCTACGTCGCGGCCCCGCCCCGACCGTCGCGGCCCCGCCCCGGACCCTACGCGGCCCCGCCCTACCTTCGCGGCCCCGACCTGTCGCGGCCCCAACCGACCGTCGCGGCCCCGCCCTACGTCGCGGTCCCCCCCCTACGTCGCGGCCCCGCCCCGCTCGTCGCGGCCCCGCCCCTTGTCGCGGCCCCGCCCTCCCCTCAGGTCCGTGGTGGGCCCCCCCCCCCCCGTCCCCCCCCCCCCCCCCCCCTTTTTCTCCCCTCCCCCCCATTTCCCGTCGCCCGCGAGCTGTGGGGTGGCGGGTATGGGGGTGGCCGGTGTGCCTTCCTCCCTTTCTCCTCCTCCTCCTTCGTCTCCCACTGCTGCAGCTGTCGCTGAGGGGGGTGGTTGTGTGGGAGACTGGGTTTAGGGTTTAAGGGGGGTGCGTGGGAGTAGAGCTAGTGGTGTAGCAGTGGGTGTGTATCAGGGGGTGGGACTGTGTGTGGGAGGATGAGCGGAGGTTGCCAGTTTGTCGTCAGCAGCACCTGTAGTCCGGGGCGCTGTCCCGGTAGCCCAGTCGTAGCCAGCTGTGCCAGCCGCCCGTGGGTCCGTTGCCCGTCCGCCGCTATTTGAGCCGCGGGGCCTGTTACTCCTGTAGTCCGGGCGCTGTCCGGTAGCCGCTGTGCCAGTCTGCCTCCTGTTGCCCGTGTGTCTGCAGCTTCAGCCGTCGCCTCCTGTCTCCTCTCCCCTCACTCTCCCTCCTCCTCCTCACTTGCCCGTTGTGACTACCACTAGCTTTGCTTATAATTGTACACTCTAAACTATTTCTTCTTGAACTTGTGCTCAGAATGTGTGGTGACATTGTGATCCACCCTGAGCTTGTTTTTGCTTTGCCTGCTCTGCTGATTACACCCCACTTTGGCTATGGGGGTGTGTCAGAATATTATCTTATTGTTCTAGCCTGTAGTGGGGTGCTCTATAGCGAGTACAACCCTTCTAAGGTTTGCTATTTGTATCCTCATTCTTGCTAGTTCAATCCTCTTTCTTCCTTTAATTTGACATGTCACAGTAATTTCGGCTCATCAGATACTCTTGGAGGACATGGTGTCTTTTTGTACGAAAATGTAAACAATTTTTATCCTGGACCTTCGAGAATTCGATTCTAGTTGAGTCTTTATTGTTTTCTCTGATTGACACCTAATAATTGCACGCCTAGTAAATAATTAAAAAATTGTGCTATCTGACACCACTAACAACTTCTAGGTTAATCGACTAAGTCCAGCTTAGGCAAGGGCCTAGCTTATATTGTCGACTACCTTGCATGCTAAGTCACATTTGTGCGTGGTATGGCTATCTAATTCACCATTCTAGAGTTTCTAGGAATTAACATTTTTGAGATATTCAACCCAACACTTTCAATGTTGCTTTGGGGCACCGTGTTGCCTTCAGTTGGCGTGCGACCTTTCCAGCGAACAAAGAGCGCAACCTTAGAGATCCCTAGTGTCGTATCCGATAACTGGGATGATCAGCTCAATTGTAGGTTGAGTCATGGACAGTGGTGAATACCGTTGTTGAGATAAATATATATATACATATACATATATTGCTACAAATTTGCATATTGAATGTATTGTCTTAGCAACTTTGTCGAATAGTGTTGTTATTGTAGCCTGTGCCCTTTTGTGAAAGTAACTGTAAGCGATACTATACGTTTGCATCTTAGGGGTGAGAATTCGGTAAAAGGCTCGATTGAGTGAACATGTAAAACAAATATGTGTACTTCCTGTTACAATATATTTCCTTTAATCTTTTCTTTAGATACCAACTCAGGACATCACTAGCTTTTGCTACAATATATCATCACGGTATAGTTTTTAAGAAGAGCCCAAGGGTATATACTCAACCCAACATGGTATGAGAGCTAAAAAGACCACAATATTCTACCGAGCGCACAACGAGTTTGTAATCATTATAACATTTCTTATTACTTATAAGAACTAAAAATGTGAAAGAGAATACCAAGAACTATTACCATAGCACCATTCTCATGCTTGGCGTTTAACAATTGCATCAGCAACATGAGCACGAAACGTTGGTGAATCTTTCCCGTCCTCCACGCTTAATCTTGGAGATAGTTCCGGATCATGATCTACCTCGTCGCGGGTTGATCCTTCATTTCAACAAGTGATGCACGTATTGTCGTAGTTTTTCGCACAAACACCACAAGCATCAGCATCAGCAAAAAAGGGGATAATACGCATGGGTATGGATGTTACATGGTGTGCACAACATCAACAACAACCAATGGCTCACCAAGTTCCGCCTCGGCAAGCAGCCACGGAGCTCCTTTGCTCGTACCCATTTCTGCAAATGTTCTTGCACAAAAGTAGCAGCAAGATTGGGGTACAACTGAACATCCAGATACGTCAAACGTATACGTGTGTATGTCTATGTGTATGTGTGTGTGTGTGTGCGTGTGTGTGTGTGTATTTGTGTGTGTATGAGGGGGAGAGCAAGAGAAAGAGAGAGAGTGAGAGAGAGAGAGAGAGAGAGAGAGAGAGAGAGAGAGAGAGAGAGAGAGAGAGAGAGAGAGAGATGAGACCCAATCAACAAGAGGGATGAGACGGCAAGGAAGGGGCATGGGATGGGCAGCAAGAGAAGCGGGGACAAAAAGATCGGGCTATAGCAGAGCAGGGCAGAATTCGTAGGCTTCTACCCACTGGCAGTATATACTTATGGTTGCCCATGAGGAGGTTCCAGCATTCCTGAAGCACCTGGCAGACGCAGCAGCACGCAAGCAATTCAACGAGGACCCCTCAACCTACTACGCCGCAAATCTGTTGCACTTGTTCCGCCAGCGGTGGGCCGTTGCCCTGCAGAGGGAACAGGCCGTGAGCTTCCTCATCATGTTGAACCTTGTAGCCCAGATGAAGAACCCTGCCATAGGAGGGCCTGAAGGTGTCCTAAACCCGAGGGATTGATTTGCTACCCTGGAGCCGGGCAATGAGTAGAAGACAAGGGGGGGGGGAGGGGGAGAGGGGGGAGGGGGAAGGGGCGGGTGGGGGAGGGTTGGGAGATGAATTGATAGATATATTGTTATACCTGGTTGATTGCTTGCTTGTTCTTTGCTGTTTCTCGCTCTATATCAATACATGGACCATTCGAGAGAGAGAGAGAGATGTCAGAATCACAACCACTAGACAATTCGGTGTCAAAGTTTGAAGAAAGAAAGAGAGGATTGAACTAGCAAGAATGAGGATACAAATAGCAAACCCTAGAAGGGTTGTACTCGCTATAGAGCACCCCACTACAGGCTAGAACAATAAGATAATATTCTGACACACCCCCATAGCCAAAGTGGGGTGTAATCAGCAGAGCAGGCAAAGCAAAACAAGCTCAGGGTGGATCACAATGTCACCACACATTCTGAGCACAAGTTCAAGAAGAAATAGTTTAGAGTGTACAATTATAAGCAAAGCTAGTGGTAGTCACAACGGGCAAGTGAGGAGGAGGAGGGAGAGTGAGGGGAGAGGAGACAGGAGGCGACGGCTGAAGCTGCAGACACACAGGCAACAGTAGGCAGACTGGCACAGCGGCTACCGGGCGAAGCCCCCGGAATACTGGAGTAACAGGCCCCGCGGCTAAAGTAGCGGCAGACGAGCAACGGACCCACGGGCGGCTGGCGTAGAAGTCTACGACTGGGCTACCGGACGAAGTCCCCGGAATACAGGTGTTGCTGACGACAAACTGGCAACCTCCACTCATCCTCCCGCACACAGTCCCACCCCCCTCATACACACCCACTGCTACACCACTAGCTCTACTCCCACACACCCCCCTAGCACCACTCCTTCGTCTCCCACACACCCACCCCCCTCAGCGGCAGCTGCAGCAGTGGGAGACGGAGGAGGAGGAGGAGCAGGGGACCGCGCACACCCGCCACCCCCATACCCGTCACCCCCATACCCTGAGTGTGCGGTAAGCAAGCTCAGGTGTGCGCGAAGCATGCACAAGCGTGCGGGAAGCGAACTCGGGTGTGCGGTAAGCAAACGCAGGTGTGCGGGGAGGGGGGGGCCGCAGGGCGACACGCGGGTCGACGGGAATGGGCACACCGGTCGCCGGAGGCGGCGCGCGGGTCGACGGGGCCGCCACTAAGGGCGACAGGGAGCCTCGCGCGGGTTGACGGGGACGCCGCGAAGGGCGACGAGGAGCCGCACGCAGGTCGACGGGGACGGGCGTGCGGGTCGACGGAACGCGAAACCGCCGCGTGCGCCCAGGGTGCGCGGTGGGCAGAAAACCGCCACGCGTCCTGAGCGCATGGCGTGCAGAATACCGCCGCGCGAAGCAGGAAATCGCCGCGCGCCTCGGGGCGCACGGTGGGCAGAAAACCGCCGCACGCACTGAGCGCGCGGTGGGCAGAAAACCGCCATGCGCTCCGAGCACGTGGCGGGAAGAAAATAAACGTCACACGCCACGGGGCGCGCGACAGACAGGATAGCAGCGGAAGCAGGTGGGCCCACAGGCCAGGAGCGTACTAGCTCTGATAGCATGTCAAAGTTTGAAGAAAGAAAGAGAGGATTGAACTAGCAAGAATGAGGATACAAATAGCAAACCCTAGAAGGGTTGTACTCGCTATAGAGCACCCCACTACAGGCTAGAACAATAAGATAATATTCTGACATTGGGATAAAAGGGCTTGTTTCAGTAGCGGGTCAGTGCGCCCATAACCCCCCAAGCAAACACGCCTGTAACCCTCTCCAGGATCAATCGGGCATCCACAGTGCAGATCTACTGACACCCCCCCACACTGGGAGGCCCAAGACTAAGCACAGTGGCAACGGCCTACATGTGCATACACCGGGAATCGAACTCGAGACCGCTCTGATACCATGTCAGAATCCCAACCACTTTACCACTGGGATAAAATAGCTTGTTTCAGTAGCGGGTCAGTGCGCCCATAACCCCCCAGGCAAACGCGCCTGTAACCCTCTCTAGGATCAATCAGGCATTCATAGTGCAGATCTACTGACAAGAGTGAGAGGGGTGAGAGAGAGAGAGAGAGAGAGAGAGAGAGAGAGAGAGAGAGAGAGAGAGAAAGAAAGAGAGAGAGAGAGAGAGAGAGAGAGAGAAGAGAGAGAGAGAGAGAGAGAGAGAGAGAGAGAGAGAGAGAGAGAGAGAGAGAGAAAGAGAGAGAGAGAAAGAGAGAGAGAGAGAGGGAGAGAGAGAGATAGAGAGAAAGAGAGAGAAAGCGAGAGAGAGAGAGAGAGAGAGAGAGAGAGAGAGAGAGAGAGAGAGAGAGAGAGAGAGAGAGAGAGAGAGAGAGAGAGAGAGAGAGAGAGGGAGTTACACTAAAATAAGACAAAAACGAGTCCTGATGTTGCAACCCGTCCACAGGAAATTCCCCGTCAAGATTAATAAGCTTGTGCAACTTGGTCCACGGCCTTTTAGTAATTGAAAATAAAACCCTTAAAGTGAACCTTAAAGGTTAAGAAATGGTGAATTATCTGTACTTGTTGTGAGGCCGCCTGAGAAGGAGTCTGATTTTTTGCTTCACTGGTTGCCAGCTTGCCTCCGAATATTGCAGTTTTCGCGCGGGCACATTTCCGTCGTCAACCCCGATGTGGGGACAGCTTCAGCTGCAATCCGATTTAGCCAGCGCGGTTCGCAAATGCAATCCCCACTGGAAGAAGCTGAGGGGTCGCAATCTGCCCGCGGTCAGAAAAAAAAGCCCCATATGGATGGCATGCGATTAGGGGAGCCCCAACCCTAAACACGGGGAGCCCCAAACCTAATTTCGGGCAGCCGCGCGGTGCTGCCCGAAAAGATTGCATTTGCAAACACGCACTGGGAAAATGAGATCGCAGTTCGAATTGACCGCCCCGATGTGACACCCTTTGGGATTCGCAAGCTCTAGGTGCTGATGTGGCACTCCCAGAGCCGAGAATTTGACCAGAGTGTCCTGTCATACGTGTCACATCCCTTGCTTTCGCCAATCCCAGTGCAAATTTACCATGCTGCGTGCGTGAACAGATGAACTCCAGCATGTGCCCAGTGAAGGCGATCTGACGGACAAGCCCGATTCCCAACCCAACCCAATCCAAGCTAAGGTGTAGCTTTCCCCTTCTCGCTCCTCCTTTTCCCCTCCCTCCCCTTGTGCGGCTTCCTTTCGTCTGCCGTGCTGCGTCCAGGACCACCACTCCTCGCTCGACAGTCCCAACAGTTCGACCCGTCACGTTTTAAGTATTTTTCTAGCGTCTCGGCCTCTGCATTCAAGGGCGGCTGTCCTGTTCCGAAAGCAACTAACGGACGAGCATGGCGGCGATCCAGCATTTGTTGCAAAGGGCCTTGAGACCTCCGTGCTCGTTACAGTCACAACTGGCAGGTGAGAGCCATTCTCCGCGCCATCCCCGCAGTCGTTCCGGTTTCGCAGCAACGAGACCCGCTGCCAGTTTCCCCTCTTTCGCGGCGCCAAACAGCACACGCCACGTGGATTTTCCGCTGCGTGTCGCATGTCGTCCCGCTCGCAGGTGAAGCCGTGCGATCGTCCTCCCATGCGACGCCGCTGCGAGCAGTCACGAAGCTTCCTGGCCTCGTTCGCGGACAGGCGTCCGCGTCCGCGTCAGCGGCGGCGTCCCAGCGAGGCGCAGCAGCTGGCGGACGGGCGGGTGGGCGCGGGGACTCGTTGCGATGCAGCGCGCAGGCAGCACCGGGCGACGCAGGTGAGGCCCCGTCACAGCCGGTAATGACGCTTTTGAGCAAAGAGAAACACTATCTTCCTGCAATGCAATTGAATCGGAGAGGGAAAATGATGAAAAGGCCATCATGAGGGTCAATTGCCCCACACGCGCAGGCCGCTCGGGATGCATTCTAAGAGATTCGAGTAACAGATTGCACATGGAGCCTCCCTCGTGTGGCACTGCAACAGACTGGTAACGCCGAACCAGCACTCCACCAATCTACAAAGTAACTGCTTGCCTTATCCCAAACACCTCCCCACCCCTTTGCCTTATCCCAAACACCTCTCCACCCCTTTGCCTTATCCCAAACACCTCCCCACCCCTTTGCCGTGTCCCAAACTCCTTCGTCTTGGAAGAATCTCAGCCGCGAGTTACTGAGCTGAAGGGCTTGTTCCATAGAGGGTGAGCTGAAGGGCTTCATAGAGGGTGAGCTGAAGGGCTTGTTCCATAGAGGGTGAGCTGAAGGGCTTGTTCCATAGAGGGTGAGCTGAAGGGCTTGTTCCATAGAGGGTGAGCTGAAGGGCTTGTTCCATAGAGGGTGAGCTGAAGGGCTTGTTCCATAGAGGGTGAGCTGAAGGGCTTGTTCCATAGAGGGTGAGCTGAAGGGCTTGTTCCATAGAGGGTGAGCTGAAGGGCTTGTTCCATAGAGGGTGAGCTGAAGGGCTTGTTCCATAGAGGGTGAGCTGAAGGGCTTGTTCCATAGAGGGTGAGCTGAAGGGCTTGTTCCATAGAGGGTGAGCTGAAGGGCTTGTTCCATAGAGGGTGAGCTGAAGGGCTTGTTCCATAGAGGGTGAGCTGAAGGGCTTGTTCCATAGAGGGTGAGCTGAAGGGCTTGTTCCATAGAGGGTGAGCTGAAGGGCTTGTTCCATAGAGGGTGAGCTGAAGGGCTTGTTCCATAGAGGGTGAGCTGAAGGGCTTGTTCCATAGAGGGTGAGCTGAAGGGCTTGTTCCATAGAGGGTGAGCTGAAGGGCTTGTTCCATAGAGGGTGAGCTGAAGGGCTTGTTCCATAGAGGGTGAGCTCGCACACATTTAACCCCCCACGCCATCCTTCAGGGCCTTCGGCCGATCCCAGTGCTCCTCCTCTACACGTCACCACCCTCTCCATTCCCATTCCCTCCCTCCCCCTGTCCCTCCCATCCCCCCTTGCACACACAAATCCCCACCACTACCGCCACCAGCAACACCAGCACCAGTAGCAACACCGGTACCACCAGCAGCAGCAGCAGTGGCAGCGGCAGAATGGGGGAGTTGTTGGGTGGCCGGGCCGCATCTCGCATTCGAATTTCAAGGCTGACGTTGCGCCAATCCACAACTCTCTTCCCTCTCCACCTCGCCCTCCTTCCCTTCCCACTCCCCTTCCCGTCCCCCGCACGTTCCCGTCCCCCTCCCTTCCCTTCTCTCCCCCTTTCCCACCCCCCATCCTCCTCCTTCCCCATCCCCCGCAGCGCCGAGCACGCAGCAGCAGCAGCGCGAGGGGGAGGTGTTGGGGTAGCAGAGGCGGATTCTGAATCCGGACCTGGGGGCGGACATAGTCTCATGCGGCTTCATCAACACAACCCCCCCCCATCCTCCCCCTCCTTCCCTTCTCCCACTCCCCCTCTTTTTCCCCGCTCTTCCCGTCCGCCTCTTTCCCTTCTCCCTCCCAGGAGCAGCACAGCAGCAGCAGCGCGAGGGGGAGGTGTTGGGACAGCTGAGGCGCATCCTGGACCCGGACCTGGGGGCGGACATAGTGTCGTGCGGCTTCATCAAGAACCTGCAAGTGGACGAGGCGGAGGGCGCTGTGACCTTCGACATGGAGCTCACCACGCCCGCCTGCCCCGTCAAAGACTCGGTGAGCAGGGGACTGTAACGGGGAGCACTGTAACGGGGATGAGGGCATCCTGGACCCGGGCGGGCGTGTTGGCGGGCATTGTGGCGTGCGGTGCGGGGTCATCAAAGATCTCCCCATCGACGAGGCGGAGGGCGCTGTGACCTTCGACATGGAGCTCACCACTCCCACCTGCCCCGTCAAGGACTCGGTGAGCAGCGCACTGTAACAAAGATGACTGCTTGCTTGGTGAGGCCAGTTCATTAGAATCGTTACCTGCCCTATTTCACTCCCCGCCTCCCTACCCTCCCGCCCCCCTGGCCCCCCATCGCCCTGCTTCGCCGCCTTCGTGCTGTGCTGTGCTTCCATCCAGTCCACTCAAAACACGGGCGAAGCCAATCGGCCCTGCTGCCCGTCCCCCCATCACTTGTGACTCCCCCCTGCCCCCTACTCGCCCCCCTCCCCACTGCACTCCCCAACCCCAACCCCCTCCCTTTCCCCCTCCCCCTCCCCCCTTCCCCAACCCCCCTCCCCGTCTACCTCTCTTCCCGTGTGCTTGGGTTGCCCCGGCATGTTTGCCTCCGCAGTTCGAGTCGCAGGCGCGTGAGTACGTGGGGTGGCTGCCGTGGGTCAAGCCATGTGTGCCTGCTGACCATGCTTGCCCCTCTCACTCCCCTTCTCCCTTGCTCTCCTGCTCCCATCCCAACCTCTCCCACCCTGCCCCAGTTCGAGGCACAAGCGCGCGAGTACGTGGGGTCGCTGCCGTGGGTCAAGACTGTTGCCCTCACCATGACAGCTCAGCCGCCCAAGCCGCTCGTGGCAGAGGAAGTGCCACGTGGCCTGCAGAGAGTGGCCAACATCATCGCTGTATCCAGCTGCAAGGTGAACCACTGGCTCTGCTCTTGCCTCTCCTCCCTGCCTGCCCCAACCTCCTCACTCGTCTCACCCCCCTCCACATGACCGCATGCAGTAATGCAGCACTGCACTGCACTGCATTGCATTGCCTTCGATCATCGCTCCCCTCCCCTCTGCCACCCTTTCATCCCTCACCGCTCTGCCCTCCCTGTCCTTGACCCTCCCCCCTTCTTCTTCATCCCCCCCCCCCCCCCCCCCCATCCCACCCCCGCCACCCCCGCCACCCCCCATCCCACCCCCGCCACCCCTCCATCCATCGCCCCTCTGCCCCTGCTCCTGCCCCTGACACGGCATGGTGCGGCACGGCATGGCACATCGCATCACATCACATGCATCAGGGCGGGGTGGGCAAGTCAACGGTGGTGGTGAACCTTGCAAATGCGCTGCACGGCATGGGCGCCCGGCATTGCGCACGCTCACCCCACCCCTCTTTATCTCTTCCCCTTGTCCTCACTTCCCCTCTCACGTTACAACACACCACACCACACCACGGCCGTGCAGGGCGGGGTGGGCAAGTCGACAGTGTCGGTGAACCTTGCATATGCGCTGCACGGCATGGGCGCCCGGCATTGTGCGTTCTCATCCCTGCCCTCTCCCTCCGCTCCCCTCCCTATCTCACGGCAATGAGCCGACAGGGCGGGGTGGGCAAGTCAACAGTGCCAGTGAACTTGGCGTATGCGCTGCACAGCATGGGCGCTAAAGTGGGCATCTTTGACGCCGACATCTACGGCCCCGCATCTTCTTATCCCATCCCCTCCCCTCCCCTTTTTCCCCTCCCTCCCTCCCCTCCCCTTTTTCCCCTCCCTCCCTTCCCTCCCCTTTTTCCCCTCCCCTCCCTCCGCTCCCCTCCCCTCCCTCCGCTCCCCTACCCTCCCATTCCCTAACGGCATGCAGGGCGGGGTGGGCAAGTCAACAGTGGCGGTGAACTTGGCGTACGCGCTGCACGGCATGGGCGCTAAAGTGGGCATCTTTGACGCGGACATCTACGGCCCCTCCCTGCCCACCATGGTCTCGCCCGAGCTCCGTGTGCTGCGCATGGTGCGTGGTGAGGGGTGAGGGGTGTGGGGGGGTGGGGAGGGGCGGAAGGGAGTGGGGAGTGGTGCGGGTGGGCATCTTTGCCGCTGACAATCACAGCCCCTCCCTGCCCACCATGGTCTCTCCTGAACTCCGCGTGCTGCGCACGGTGCGTGGTGAGGGGGGGTGGTGACTGGTGTTGGGGATGGGGAGTGGCGTGGGGGGGGGGGGGTAAATGGGGAATGGGGAGGGACGGGTTCTGGGGCTTTTGTTGCTGCACACCGTGATTTACCTCTCCGCAACAAGAGCAGAGGGGAGGGGCCTCTACTCGCCCAACAGTGCTCTTTGCTTCCACCTCTTTCCGCCCTCTTCCTCCCTCCCTTCCTTCTCCATCCCCACCCCCCTGCCAATTCCTCTCACCCGCTGCCTCCTCACTCGCCCTCTCCTGCTTCCTCACTCGCCCTCTCCTGCTTCCTCACTCGTCCTCTCCTGCTTCCTGCCGCCACTCTAGCACCCCCAACGTCGCATTCCTTCTTCCTCCCACCCCCGTCTCCATCCCCTCCTCTCCTCATCTCCCCTCGCCCACCCAACGTTTTTCCCCTCACCTCAGAATCCATGCATGAGGCACATGACCACTTACCTTTCCCCACTCCCAGAACGAAGAGTCCTCATTGTAAATCCACTGTGCCATCTTCATCACGCTGCCCCGTGCCCCTCGCCCCCCGCCTCTCGTCTCACTTCCCTCGCCCCTCGCCCCTCGCCCCTCGCCACGCAGGATGCGGAGACGAGGGAGATCATGCCAACGGAGTACCTGGGCGTCAAGCTCGTCTCCTTTGGCTTCGCCGGCCAGGTAAGTCACTCACCCGCTGCTGCTGCTGCTTAGGCACGTCCGTGCTGCTGCTCGCAGGTGGGCTTGTTGAATTATGCTGGGTTTGGTTTCTTCCCATGGGGAGGTCTGTCGATCAAATCGCGTTATCCCAAATATGCGCTGTGCACCTCCCACCTGCAATGCTGTGCGATGCGATGTGATGCAGTGCGGTGCAGGGCAGTGCCATCATGCGGGGCCCCATGGTATCAGGGGTGATGATTCAGCTGCTCACCACCACGGACTGGGGCGACCTTTGAGACGTCTCAAAAAGTGCTGTGCGCTTCTGTGCGGTTCTGTGCTGTTCTGTGCGGTGCTGTGCGGTGCAGGGCAGTGCGATCATGAGGGGCCCCATGGTATCAGGGGTGATAAACCAGCTGCTCACCACCACAGACTGGGGGGAGCTGGACTACCTCGTCATTGACATGCCGCCCGGCACTGGAGACATCCAGCTCACGCTCTGCCAGGTCAGCATGCTCTGCCAGGTGCCATCCCAAGTCAGCATGCTCTGCCAAGTCAGCATGCCCGGCCAATTCAGCATGCTCTGCCGGGCGGGGTTGGGCCACCCTCGGTGCTGTGCTGCCCCACATGGCACAAGACATCCACCCCTCCGTGTTTCTCACCGGCTCCCCTGCCACTGCCTTCATGCCCGCTGCAACCCTCGTTCCATCTCCCTTTCTTTCCCCTGCCTCTAACAAACACTTCATACTCCTCCCCTCTAACATGGCCAATGCCATGGCGCCTCGCCTGTGGCGCACTGCACTCCGCCCTCCCCCCATTGCCAGGTGGTGCCGCTGACAGCAGCAGTGATCGTGACCACGCCACAGAAGCTCGCCTTCATCGACGTCGCCAAGGGCGTGCGCATGTTCTCCAAGCTCAAGGTCAGATGCACATGCTGCCAAGGTCATAACATAACACGCGCCCTTTAAACTGTCACATGTTTGAGTCGACTCAGAAGCTGGCGTGCGCATGTTCTCCAAGCTCAAGGTCATCCTCACACGCTCTCAATGTCATGTTATATTACTCGCCGTTCAATGTCACACACACCTCATGTCGCAGATTCCGTGAGTGATGTGACGGCACATTGTCATGACCCCACATGCCCCTCAGCTCAGACCTCCATGCTTTGTTTATGCGCCCCCCATACCTGCATGCCCCAATGCCCCCCCCCTTTCATAACTGCCAGGTACAATGTGTGGCTGTGGTGGAGAGCATGGCTTATTTCGAGGCGGACGTGAAGCGCTACTTGTTCTCCATGCCCCAACGCTCCTGTTTCCTCCATGCCCCAACGCTCCTGTTTCCTCCATGCCCCAACGCTCCTGTTTCCTCCATGCCCCAACGCTCCTGTTTCCTCCATGCCCCAACGCTCCTGTTTCCTCCATGCCCCAACGCTCCTGTTTCCTCCATGCCCCAACGCTCCTGTTTCCTCCATGCCCCAACGCTCCTGTTTCCTCCATGCCCCAACGCTCCTGTTTCCTCCATGCCCCAACGCTCCTGTTTCCTCCATGCCCCAACGCTCCTGTTTCCTCCATGCCCCAACGCTCCTGTTTCCTCCATGCCCCAACGCTCCTGTTTCCTCCATGCCCCAACGCTCCTGTTTCCTCCATGCCCCAACGCTCCTGTTTCCTCCATGCCCCAACGCTCCTGTTTCCTCCATGCCCCAACGCTCCTGTTTCCTCCATGCCCCAACGCTCCTGTTTCCTCCATGCCCCAACGCTCCTGTTTCCTCCATGCCCCAACGCTCCTGTTTCCTCCATGCCCCAACGCTCCTGTTTCCTCCATGCCCCAACGCTCCTGTTTCCTCCATGCCCCAACGCTCCTGTTTCCTCCATGCCCCAACGCTCCTGTTTCCTCCATGCCCCAACGCTCCTGTTTCCTCCATGCCCCAACGCTCCTGTTTCCTCCATGCCCCAACGCTCCTGTTTCCTCCATGCCCCAACGCTCCTGTTTCCTCCATGCCCCAACGCTCCTGTTTCCTCCATGCCCCAACGCTCCTGTTTCCTCCATGCCCCAACGCTCCTGTTTCCTCCATGCCCCAACGCTCCTGTTTCCTCCATGCCCCAACGCTCCTGTTTCCTCCATGCCCCAACGCTCCTGTTTCCTCCATGCCCCAACGCTCCTGTTTCCTCCATGCCCCAACGCTCCTGTTTCCTCCATGCCCCAACGCTCCTGTTTCCTCCATGCCCCAACGCTCCTGTTTCCTCCATGCCCCAACGCTCCTGTTTCCTCCATGCCCCAACGCTCCTGTTTCCTCCATGCCCCAACGCTCCTGTTTCCTCCATGCCCCAACGCTCCTGTTTCCTCCATGCCCCAACGCTCCTGTTTCCTCCATGCCCCAACGCTCCTGTGCCCGAATGCCCCAACGCTCCTGTGCCCGAATGCCCCAACGCTCCTGTGCCCGAATGCCCCAACGCTCCTGTGCCCGAATGCCCCAACGCTCCTGTGCCCGAATGCCCCAACGCTCCTGTGCCCGAATGCCCCAACGCTCCTGTGCCCGAATGCCCCAACGCTCCTGTGCCCGAATGCCCCAACGCTCCTGTGCCCGAATGCCCCAACGCTCCTGTGCCCGAATGCCCCAACGCTCCTGTGCCCGAATGCCCCAACGCTCCTGTGCCCGAATGCCCCAACGCTCCTGTGCCCGAATGCCCCAACGCTCCTGTGCCCGAATGCCCCAACGCTCCTGTGCCCGAATGCCCCAACGCTCCTGTGCCCGAATGCCCCAACGCTCCTGTGCCCGAATGCCCCAACGCTCCTGTGCCCGAATGCCCCAACGCTCCTGTGCCCGAATGCCCCAACGCTCCTGTGCCCGAATGCCCCAACGCTCCTGTGCCCGAATGCCCCAACGCTCCTGTGCCCGAATGCCCCAACGCTCCTGTGCCCGAATGCCCCAACGCTCCTGTGCCCGAATGCCCCAACGCTCCTGTGCCCGAATGCCCCAACGCTCCTGTGCCCGAATGCCCCAACGCTCCTGTGCCCGAATGCCCCAACGCTCCTGTGCCCGAATGCCCCAACGCTCCTGTGCCCGAATGCCCCAACGCTCCTGTGCCCGAATGCCCCAACGCTCCTGTGCCCGAATGCCCCAACGCTCCTGTGCCCGAATGCCCCAACGCTCCTGTGCCCGAATGCCCCAACGCTCCTGTGCCCGAATGCCCCAACGCTCCTGTGCCCGAATGCCCCAACGCTCCTGTGCCCGAATGCCCCAACGCTCCTGTGCCCGAATGCCCCAACGCTCCTGTGCCCGAATGCCCCAACGCTCCTGTGCCCGAATGCCCCAACGCTCCTGTGCCCGAATGCCCCAACGCTCCTGTGCCCGAATGCCCCAACGCTCCTGTGCCCGAATGCCCCAACGCTCCTGTGCCCGAATGCCCCAACGCTCCTGTGCCCGAATGCCCCAACGCTCCTGTGCCCGAATGCCCCAACGCTCCTGTGCCCGAATGCCCCAACGCTCCTGTGCCCGAATGCCCCAACGCTCCTGTGCCCGAATGCCCCAACGCTCCTGTGCCCGAATGCCCCAACGCTCCTGTGCCCGAATGCCCCAACGCTCCTGTGCCCGAATGCCCCAACGCTCCTGTGCCCGAATGCCCCAACGCTCCTGTGCCCGAATGCCCCAACGCTCCTGTGCCCGAATGCCCCAACGCTCCTGTGCCCGAATGCCCCAACGCTCCTGTGCCCGAATGCCCCCCCCTTCTCCTCCCTCCATAACCTCCAGGTGCCGTGTGTGGCGGTGGTCGAGAACATGGCGTTCTTTGACAGCATGACCCCCACGCCCCCACTCCCCCACGCCCCCACGCCCCCACTCCCCCACGCCCCCACTCCCCCGCCCCCACTCCCCCACGCCCCCCTGTCCCAGGTGCCGTGTGTGTCAGAGGCGGACGGGAAGCTCTACTTTTCCTTCACCCAATGCCCCCATGTCCCAATGTCCCCCTCCTTTCCCCCCTCCTTTCCCCCCTCCTTTCCCCCTCCTTTCCCCCTTCCTTCCCCACTTCCCATAACTGCCAGGTGCCGTGTGTGGCAGTGGTGGAGAACATGGCCTATTTCGAGGCAGACGGGAAGCGCTACTTCCCCTTTGGCAAGGGGTCGGGCAGCGAGGTGGTGGCGCAGTTTGGCATCCCACACCTCTTCGAGCTGCCCATTCGCCCCGAGGTGCGCTGCGGTACCCCACGGTGCTCCGCGGTGCCCAGAAGTATTTGTTGTTTCGAGTATGTCCTTGGTGATCTGGTGCTTGGAAATCATTTCTGAGGCGCCTCAAAATGCGCCAAAAAAAATCGCCTTAGACGGCGCCCCAAACTCGTCCTCAAATGGCGCCAAGAAGAACATCCTTGGGAGGCGCATGGCAGTTGGGAGATGCAGTGCTTGCTCGAAAATCACGCTCGGCCATGTCCCCCCCTCCCCGCCCGCCCCCCCCCCGCTGCCTGTTGTCAATTCTGGCACTTGTCTCTGCCTCACACCTCTCTTCTCATGATCTTGCCTCAGTGCCTCCACTGTGACACGCCTCCCCTGTGCCTCCCATGCTCCCCCCATGTGTGACACGCCTCCCCTGCGCCTCCCATGCTCCCCCCATGTATGACCGCCAGCTGTCAGCAGCGGGGGACAGCGGGCAGCCGGAGGTGGTGGAGGACCCGTTGGGCGAGGTGGCTCGCACGTTCACGGACGTGGGGGCGTGTGTGGTGCAGCAGTGCGCCAAGCTGCGGCAGCAGGGTGAGTCAACGGTTCAACTGGCACTGGGTGTGCCGCTGCTGAGTGCGTTTCTATGGTAACGTGGGGGCGTGTGTCGTGCAGCTGAGTTAGAGGGATGAGAGGGCGTGGTAGTGGGCTCGTGTGGGGGAATGTGTGGTAAAGAGCAAGGAGAGCGATTCAAGGATAGGGGTGATCAAAGATGGGGGGAAGGTGCACTCCCCACAGCAAGGTGCACTCCCCACAGCAAGGTGCACTCCCCACAGCAAGGTGCAGCATGGGGGGAACAGGGCCTTGCCGCTGAAATCTTACCTCTCATTCCTCTCCCTACTCTCCCTCCTCTCCCTCCTCTCCCTCCTCTACACCCCCTCGCCCCCTCACCTCCTGCCCGCCAATCCAGTCGCCACAGCAGTGCTGTATGACGAAGCTCTGAGGGCCCTGCGAGTGAAGCTTCCAGGAAGCGACGAGGAGTTCTTCCTGCACCCGGCAACAGTGCGACGCAACGACCGATCGGCGCAGAGCATTGTGAGTCAACGCGAGTCAATGCGAGTCAATGGTAGTCAGTGGTAGTCGAGGGAGTCAAGTTGAGATTCAGGGAAAGTGAGCTGGCGTGGAGGGGGCCCAGTGAGTGAAGGAGGGTCAAAGGAGTCAAGCGCTGCTGTCAAGGGCTTTCAAGGAGTCAATTGGAGTCAAACAGAGTCAGGTCTCTTGTGACTTAGCTGGGAGCGCAGTGAGTGAAGAGCAACACGAGTGGGCACTGTGAGTGTTACTAGAGTGGGTGGGAGGCCGCATGCATGTCCACGCATGTCATAGGAGGGCGAGGGGGCTGCTAACACCTCCTCCCCTTGCTCGTGACAAGCTGTTCTACCCATGCCACTGATTGGCTGCACCACTGCACTGCTTCTGCAGCGATTTAATTTCTATCTCCCTGCACCCTACTCCTCCCATCTCCCGCCCCTCCATTCTCTATTCTCCACTGTTGTAACCCTCCCATCGCCCCTCCCTGCATCCTCACCCTCCCATTGCCCGGCCCTGCATTCCCATCCTGGTCAGGACGAGTGGACGGGGGAGCAGAAACTGCAGTACAGTGACGTCAGCGATGACATCATTCCCGAGAGCGTTCGGCCAATGGGCAACTACGCCGTCTCTATTGTGTGGCCTGATGGGTTCAGCCAGGTCAGCAGATGGTGTAGACCTTAGTTGGTACTTTACGTTTTTTTGGGTCACGTAAACGTAAACTTACGCTTGAGTTTACCTTTACGTTTTCTTACGCGTAATTTTACGTAAAGTCGCACGGGCAGGGCAAAAAAAAGTTTTTTTGCCCGCGAAACGAAAAAATCTGACTGATATGAGGTGGGAGAGGCTGCTACATGTTTGTGTAGATTTGGGGCATCTGTAAGTTGATGTAATAATGTGCTAACATGCTTGGGCGTAGAAGAACCAAGCTAGTGATAGATTAGGCGCTTCCCATGCAGCCACTTAGTCCGATGATTTCTTATATTTCTGGGCAGTTAGAACTGTTTCTAGCTGACCGTAAACGTAAAGCCATTTTTAGCCCACGTAAGTTAACGTAAGTTTACTACGTAAAGTCACGTAAACGTAAACCACCGTAAACGTACAATACCAACTAAGGTGTAGACAGGTCAGCAGCAGGTATTGCCAGGTCAGCAGAGGGTGTAGCCACGTCCTCAAGATGCTCTACATTCACACATCACATGCACATACCCACACACACGCTTGCGGTCTCACACACAATCATCCTTGCATAGTAAACACACAGTCATTCTCCCTGTCTCCTTCCCAATCCCACTCTGCCAGGTGGCACCATTTGACCAATTGGAGGAGATGGAGCGCATCGTGGATGTGGAGGGCAGGCGAGAGGCCGTGGCTGCGTTCAAGGAGCAGGAGAGCAGAGCCGGGGCTGCTGATGTGGCGCCAGCTGTGCCCGTGCAGTCTGACCTGGCAACTGAGGGGGCCAAGTCGTCTGCAGCCACGTCAGCAGCGGCACAAATCTTAGCTCATGCACGGACCTTGAAGCAAATATAAGCAGTAGGTGCATGCGCGCAGTGCTGTTAAGCAACCCCCAAATGACGTAATGGCAGGACATTCTGTTTTGTGGGTGAAAGCTTCGCACATGCTGTCATTAATATCCTGCTTAACCAGTACAGAGCCAGAATCATCGCTTATGCTATAACAATGGAACCGAATTTGTGTTGTGTAAATGCATGCAATATTATGAGCAATTGGTTGCTGGGCTAGCTGGCCACACCTGGAGCTAAAATCTAGGAAGCCCTTCCCTGAAACATTGGGTGAAAGCACTGAAAATGCCATGATGTCCGTGTGACCAGGCTGAGGTTTTTTGTGGAACAAAAATTACTTGTGAAATGTTGAGTTTATGCATGGCATGGTGAAGTTTTGAGTGTATATGTCTCAAATTTATTACCAGCTTTACTCAATAAACTGCTTGTGAAATCCGACAGGTTATATGGATTGACTTCCGCGAAAAAGCTCGACGAACATCGCCGGACGATTACGATGTGGCTAACAGCATTGAGAGTTCGCTTCCAATGGGAGTTTCAGCTCGCTTTCATCCCGTCTGGCTCACGCTGACCAATTCTTCGGACGCGCGCCGCATTTTTCAGCTAGTTGAGCAAATCCACATTTCCTGCGAAGTCAAATTGGAATGTCTGAGAGCGAGCAAGTTTCACGTGCCCGTTACGGGTCTGGACGGGTTACATGCTGAGAAACCTGATTGCAGCGCTTCTGGCCGTAATCCAGGGATTCATTGTTCTAGGCAATGCTTTCGCGGAATTCGCACACCAATGGCACGGACGCACAAACGTCACGGATTAGTCCGAAACAAACCACCTTCGCTCGTTCTTCCAGCATTTTTGACCATCTGGGCAGGTGCATCCCGGCGGGACAAGGCCCCACTCAAATGTGCGACTCCGCATCTTGGCTGGTCGGGTACAAAAGCGAAGCATAACCTCACTGGAACCATCATCAACAATTCAAGCCATCCCCATTCAAAACAACTCAACTTTTGTTCCTTCGTTCCAGTAGTACAACTAGTTTTAGGCCAACCAGCGTGTGAAGTAAGCGTCACAAGCTGATTTCACAATGAGGCGCGGTCCAACAATCGTAATGCTGCTGCTTCTGGGGGCATTCCTGCTGTCTACGCAGCCAACGAGTGCAATCCGTGAGTCAGCTTGGCGCCTGAACCGCGCATGGCGCAACGGCGGAGAGAATGCGCACCTCACGGCACCCTCTAGGGAAAATTCCGGCGAATTTGCGACGCCAACAGCTGACGGCTCCGCCGTCTACATCGTTCGCTTGAATGCCGCACCTCCCCTTTGCGAATACCACGGCGGAATCGTGGGCTACCCTGCCACGGCCACGTGGGACGACGGCAGCGACGAGGAGGACAGTGAGGCCGTTCCGCAAATGATTCTCCCCGCCGGCAATTCTGCCGCCGCAGTAGGCGGCGAAACCGTCGATCTGGACGACACCGACGGCGACCAGCTGCTCTCAAACACGACGGCGCCATCCCCGCCCGCAAACGGCACATCAGACGCCGCTGCAACTCCCAGCGCTCGCGGCGGTCACGGTGGCAGTGGTAACGGTAACGGAGGTCGTAACGGTGGCGGCGGGTACCCGCGGCACCGGCTGAGTCTGAGCATGGACCGCCCCCAGGTGGCAGCGTTCGCGGGGCTGCTGCAGCGGCAGCAGGCGCAGGTGGCATCTGAGGCGGGCGTACCCGAGGACGGGCTGCTCTACAGCTACAAGCACACGTCCAACGGCTTCGCCGCGCGCCTCATGGCGCGTCAGCTGTGGCGGCTGCGGCGCCACCCCGCCGTGGCGTCCGTCCGCGCCAGCCGCGTGTTCCGCCGGCAGACCAGCGACTCGCCCCAGTTCCTGGGGCTGCCCGGGAAGGTGTGGCCGGCAGTGGGCGGGCAGAGCAAGGCGGGCGAGGGCACGGTGGTGGGGATCGTGGACACGGGTATCTGGCCCGAACACCCGTCCTTCAGCGATAAGGGCCTCTCCTCACAGCTGCCCGCGGGGTGGAAGGGCAAGTGCGAGCAGTCGAGCTCGTTCCGGTGCAACAACAAGGTGATCGGCGCCAAGGCCTTCTATGCCGGCTTCCAGCAGAGCAGCGGCAAGCCCGTGTTGACCAACGACTGGCTCTCGCCGCGAGATGCGGACGGCCATGGCACGTGGTGCGCGGGGGCAGCCGCGGGGAACCCCGTGAAGGTAAAGGGCGGCGGGCAGGTGAGCGGCATGGTGCCGGCAGCGCGCATTGCGGCGTACAAGGTCTTCTGGACGGATGGCAACGGGGACATGTACGCCACGGAGCCAGACATCATCGCAGCCGTCAATCAGGGCGTGGCGGACGGTGTGGATGTGCTGTCGCTGTCTCTGGGCGGCGTGAATCCCGAGGACAACTATTTCAACGATCTCTCTTTCATGCGCGCGAACACTGCCGGCGTGTTTGTCACATTTGCTGCCGGAAACGCTGGGCCTCCCGGGCGTGGAGGGTTCTACCGCACGCTTGACAACTTCGCGCCCTTCTATCTCACCGTTGGCGCCAGCACCATTGCCCGAGGCGGCGCCTCCCTCGCCTCCTCAACGGCTGGCGCTCAGTCGCTCTCTCACGGTGCCACCACCAGCACCAACGGCACGGATGGCAGCACAAGCGGCAACTTCAATGGCAACGGCACGGACGGCAGCAGCAGCACCGTTCTGACCACTGACGGCGGGATCACATTCACCACTGCATCCTCGTCCGCCCCCGTGGTGGCTGACTTCTCTTCCCGCGGCCCCCTGCTGCAGCCGTCCGCCACGGCCCAGCCGCCCAAGCCAGGCAACGCCATCATGAAGCCCGACATCATCGGCCCCGGAGTCGACCTCGTAGCCGCTGCTCCCGGCAACCAACCCGGCGACCCTGATGCCCTCGCCCGCATGTCGAGCACTTCCATGGCCACCCCTCATTTAGCCGGGCTAGCCGCTTTAATCATCCAGAAGTACCCCAACTGGACCCCGGCGCAGGTGATGTCAGCGCTGATGACGATGGCGCGGGTGACGGACACGAGCAAGAGCGCCATCAAGAGTGCGACGGGCGGGGAGGCCACCCCATGGGAGATGGGCGCAGGCCACGTGTTCCCCCCGGCCATGCTCGACCCCGGGCTCACCTACGATGCCCGCGACCGCGACTACCAGAACTTCCTGGCCGGGCAGGACCTCAACCGCGCCAAAAAGGAGTTCCCAGGGGCGGCGCTCTCCCCTCTGGCTGTGCGCAACCTCAACCTGCCCACCATCACTCTGCCTCGCCTGCAGGGCTCCCTGCAGGTCACCCGCACCGTCACCAACGTGGGGCAGACCCGGTCCACATACAGTGTATCTGGGAAGCCCCCACAGGGCGTGAAGGTGACTGTGGGGCCTAGGAGCCTCACGCTGGCTCCCGAGGAGAAGGGGACCTACACGGTGACGGTCACGGTGGATACCCCCAGTAATGACTTCAAGTATGGGTATCTAGTATGGGCTGATGACCAGGGCCACAGCGTGCGGTCCCCCATCGTGGTGCAGCCCATCTCCCGTTGAGGGGTGGGAGTTGTGCAAGACCTTTTCACGTTAAGAGGTGGAGTGTTGTTTTCGGTTTGAGCTGTGGGAGTGTGTGCTGCACTGGATACAGCCCCATGTTATTATCGAGAGAAAGTGCCACTACTCGTGGCAAGTGGCATGGCAGGGCGTATTGCTATGGAACAGCATGGTGGGTGCAGCATAAGCGTTCATGTGTGTGTTGAGGTGATTATGACATGATGGCGTGGCAGCAGTATCCTTTGTTGTACTGGGTGCTATTTATTTGTGATATTGACCATGTGAAAAAAATCGCAGCCATGTATAATCAAACTAGCAGCACAATATTGCTTACAGTCCTGACTTACGCACAGGCGCCCATTGGCTCGCTGGTTGCCCCCCATGGGCTCACTGGGCGCCCATGAGCTCGCTGGGGGCCTGCATTCCTTGTGGCACATGGGATGGCATAGCAGGGTATGTTGATCTGGAAGGGCTTGGTATTTGTGGCATGAGTGCTTGTGTATTTATGAGCTGATTGGATATTTCTATGCAGGTTCCTTGTTTGTATGCTATTCATTCTAAATATACACCTCCAATCCAGCCATGCTAAAACAGACCACAAAGATAGGCATATGGCATGGCAGGCCTTGTGGCACAGAGGCACTGTGACTCAGCAAACCAGGCCTAAATCATCACAATAGGTCAAAGCAGCCCTGTCGAAGCTGCCATTCAAGCGCCCTCTTTCCCCTCTTTCCCCTGTAAAAGGAGAAGGTATTCTCGCATTTCACAATGCATGGCCACTATGTGCATCAGCACTCCCACTCACTCTCTTCATCGTCACCATCCAGCTCAAGCCTTTGCTCTCCAAAAAAGCCATCCCAAGGCAAAACATGTTCCGCGGTCCTTCTAGCAGTGACCACCAACTGAGGCAAGAGCATCCCTACCTCCCTCGCAACCAGCCTCAAATCCACATAGTCAGAAGAACCCCTTCCCCCACTATTACCTCCACCATCCCCCAACACACCCTCGCTTCCACCTTCCTCGCTCCCTCTCCACCCATCTCCAACAATCACTTCCGGAGACACCAGCAGCCGACGCAGCCTGAACTCTTGCAACCCACAGTATCCTCTCGCCTTCTTCCTTCCGTTATCATGCCCCACATCCTCGCCTACAAGTGCCTTCTCCTCCTCGCCCTCCCCATCCCTCTCCACCTCTTCAGCCACCCCATCAGCTCCGTGCTTCTCATTGTTGCCAGCAAGCTCCCTAGCTACTGCTAAGAGAGCGAGCAGGAGGGCAGAAGTCAATCCTGGGCATCCAAAGAGGTCCAGCAGGACGAGCCGTGGCAGGTGCAGCTGCAGCGGCACTGGCGCACTGGAAGCACGGCCTGCAGCAGCAGTGGCGTCGGAACCAGGTGGAATTCCAGGGGCAGCCCCAGCAGTAGTGGCGCCATTCACACCCACACCGCCGTGCCAGCTGTCGCCGAACAGCGCCGCCACGACAGCAGCGTCGTCCACCCGTGTGCGCGGCAGCCTCAGCACCTCCAGCCGCCCGCATCTCCTCGCCAGCTGGCGCCACGCTGCGGGTCGCACGTTCACACAGCCGCCCAGACTCAGCTGCACCAATCGCGTGCATCCGTTCGCAATAGCCAGCACCCCGGCATCAGTCACCCGCCACTGGACAGCAGGAAGGGCAATACGCACGGAGGCTCTGGCATAGGAGGACGTGTAGTACAGAAAGTCGTTGGTGCCACTTCCCTCAGCAGACGCGACAGGGATGAACCGAGCTAGCGGCTGCGCGTGCAAGGCGGTGAGCTTCGGGCAGGACTGGGAGATCTCTAGCAGAACAGCGTCTGACGCCAAGGGGAGGGCGAGGCGCTCCAGGAGAGGCAGGCCGCGGATGGCCCGGCAGAGTGCCTCCTCGCTCCTCCCCGGCTCGCCATCGGGAGGGGGTGGGGAACGCAGCACCTCGGTTCGGGACAGATCCAGGGTGGTGAGGTGGCGGAACAGGTGGCTCACAGCCAGCCACGTGGACACGGGGGAATTGTGGGCGTGGAAGGAGCGCAGAGAGGAGGACAGACGTGGGACACACAGGCTCGCGCCACTGCCGCTGCCGCTGCTGCTGCTCCTCCTGCCACTGCCGCTGCTGCCGCCGCCGCTGCCGCCGCCACCGCTGCTACCGGCACTGTTGCTGTTGGTATCCTTCTCTGCGCTGGTGCTGTTGGTATCCTTCTCTGCGCTGGTGCTGTTGGTATCCTTCTCTGCGCTGGTGGTGTTGGTATCCTTCTCTGCGCTGGTGGCGTGGCAGCCAGAAGCGAGGGCGAGCAGCAGCGAGGAGGCGGGAGGCTGATCCGAGGCGACGGAGCGATGGGGGGAGAGGTACAGGCGGAGGGAGGCGAGGCAGGGCGCGAGGGACGACCCTGAGGGGCACCAGAAGGGGTCGCCGGCACTTGGGGGGGGGGCAAGGGAGAGCGAGGCGAAGAGAGATATTGCATCATCCGACCCCGCTGCTTCTGCACCAGCGGCTGCATTCGCTGAAGTATCCCGCGCTGCTGCAGCACGCGCCTCTGCGCGCCCCGGCTGGGGCGAGGCGCGCGGAACCAGCGCGCCGGACACGAGGGAGAGGCGCTGCAGCGACGGGAGGAGCGCGAGGAGCAGCGCCGCCGACTCCCACGTGACGGCGTCGGACCAGAGCGAGAGCGCCGTCAGATGCGGGAGTGTGCTGGCCACGTGCTCGACGCACGCGGCCGTGATGTCCGCTGGCGTGTCGAGGTTCAGGGCGCGGAGATTAGGGAGCGAGGCGGCGATGGTGTTCACGTGGAGGTCGGTAAGGAAAGAGCGCTGGGGCGGACGGTTTCGGATGGGGGGAGGCGGGAGGGGCGGAGGCGGTGGGGGGAGCGGGGGGCGCGCACGGGGAGGCGGTGGGGGGTGCAGGACGCACGGACGGGGAGGAGGCGGAGGATGAGATGCGGAAGGAGGTGGGGGAGGGGGAGGGGGGGGAGGCAGGAAGAGGTAGAGCGAGGAGCGTCAGAAGCAGTAGAAGGAGGAACGGAAGGAGGTGGGGGAGCAATGGTGCGAGAGGGAGGAGGAGGGGGCGCAGGAGCACGGGGAAGGGGCGGAGGCGGCGGAGGTGGGATGGTGGAGGAGCCGGCAAGCTGAATGCCGTCCGCGTGGCCCCACACGCGATCATGGCTTGGGTATGTGATCTCCGGATCATCACACGGGCTTAACCAGAACCCCCGCAGGTCCACGCACGCGGCAGGGCAGAGAAAGTGGTCCAAGCGGAGATCCAGGCGCTTGAGCTGACGTGGCAGGGCTGGTAACACCACCGTGGCAAAATCTGAGGTGCTCATGGGTAGCGAGTCGAATGTCGGACAGTTCTGCTCGACACAACCAACCAGAGATAGGGTTTCAATCCTCGAGGCGATTTCAAGGATTCGCACAATGCCGTGGGCCGTCAGCTTATCGTTGTCACCGGCGGTTAAGTTTCTCGCGCCGGGACGGATCTCCAGATATCGAAGTGTGGCGGCGAATCGAGTCGTCAACTCTAGCATCTGCGCTTCGGAATCAAAGCTACCAAGGATGCTATCAGATCCCGGAGCTAAGCTCTCGAGCAGGAAGGGCGACGGTCGGAGCGATCGCACACACACGCGCAACGCGACGCGGCACCAGCGGCGGCAGACGAAGGCGACCGAGGAGATGGCGAAGCGCGAGGGGAGGAAGGAGAGGACGAGGGAGAGCGTGCCGTCGTCCAGGAGGGCCGTGACGGAAGCGCATTCCGCGGAAAGCTCTTCGCAATCACGGTCACGATCGCGATCCGCGGGAATGTGTGATGGTCGTTCCATGGTACTAACGCGTGCTGTCCGTAATAAGGCTTCTGTACTGTTGAACGAGGGATATCAAAGTGCTGCGTAGCCTCAACGACACAAAGTGGTTCAAGATCGAGGAATCGTAAGTGTGGGATTATTGAGTTGCGGAGGAAACGCAGTGCCAGAATTTGTTACTGATGAATTCGTGTCTTGGCGATGCGATGATGCTGATGGTCGAGGAGGATGGAAGGAGGCGAGTTCAGAAGGAACCTTAGGGCGTATCCAGGTTCGGGTCATAGCACTATTCCGGGCATGCGCGATTTGCGGATGACCCAAACAACATAGAACGCATGTTTGGGTCATGCGACCCCCATATTGCCGCGAGGGTTTTCGCGTCAAAATCCAGCTCACAAAAACAGTCGCTGTGAAAGAAAGCAGTACAGGTAGGCGCCATAGCTAGGAAAGCCCTAGCTAGGCAAGGAACACTTTAGGCAAAAGAGGAGTTCACTAGCAAGAATGAGGATACAAATAGCAAACCCTAGATGGGTTGTACTCGCTATAGAGCACCCCACTACAGGCTAGAGAATAACATTCTGACACACCCCCATAGCCAAAGTGGGGTGTAATCAGTAGAATGAGCAAGCAAGTATAGAGCAGGAGTTCACAAAGGTAAGCAAAGCTAGAGCTAATCACAGCGGGCAAGTGAGAAGGAGGAGGAGCTGTGGAGGTAGAGAAGATGGGAGGCAACGACTGAAGCTGCAGAGGCACGGGCACAGGAGCGGCTGACTCAGAGGCTACCGAAGCAAGGGCGACGGACTACTGGAGTAACTGGCTCGGCAGCTATAGAAGAGCGGCAGGAGCAACGGACCCACTGGTGACTCTGGTGCTGCTGGGGGTGCTGAGCGTGTGGGTGCTACTCCTGGGGGTGCTGAGCCTGGGGGTGCTGAGACTGGGGGTGCTGAGCCTGGGGGTGCTGAGCCTGGGGGTGCTGTGCCTGGGGGTGCTACGCCTGGGGGTGCCGAGCCTGGGGGTGCTGAGCCTGGGGGTGCTACGCCTGGGGGGGCTGAGCCTGGGGGTGCTGAGCCTGGGGGTGCTACGCTTGGGGGTGTGGAGCCTGAGGGAGCTGGACCTGTTCGTGTGGCGTCTGGTGGTGCTGGTCCTGGAGGTTCTCCGGGTGCTTCGTCTTGGCGGGAGCCACTCTCTCCACAGGAGCTGCGCGAGTGGTTTGCCCGGCGCTGGAGCCGTGCTGCTGGAGCTGGAGGTTCTTCGGCTACTGAGGGTGCTGGTGTCGCGGGTCCCGGAGGTGCTCGTACTGGGAGTACTGGAGGTGCTGGGCCTGCGGTTTTGACTAGAGCTGGTTCTGCTGGGGGTGCTACTGGTGCTGTTGGAGGTCCTGGAGCTACTGGAGCTGCTGCGGGTACTGGAGCTGGAGGTGCTGCTGGAGCTGGTGCTCCTGCTGGGGGTGATGGTGCTGTCCCTGCTGTTTCTGGAGTCGTCGCGCGGCCTCGACCGTACTTCGTCCCGCTCCTGCAGCAGGTTCTTGGTCTTCCGCCTTCTACTAGTCCTCCTCCTCCCTTAGAGTGTCCACAGCCTGTCTCGTCACAACTACAGTTACAGCCGGCCTCCCCTCTGCCACAGGAGCTTCGCTGGCTCACCTACCTGGTGACTGACCTCGGAGAGCCGCCTCGTTTTCCTCCAGTCCTGTACGTAGACAACAAGGCCATGCTGGCCTTGTGTCGAGAGCAGAGACTGGAGCACAGAACAAAGCACATTGCTCTCCGCTTCTTTCTTGCTCGTGAGCTACAGCAGCGTGGTCAGTTGCGGCTTGCGTACGTGGCCTCTGAGGCCAACACTGCTGATGTCTTCACCAAGGCACTTGCGCCTTGTGATCATCAGCGTTTCTGCACTGAGCTGGGTCTTGTGCCTGTCTTGCCTCAATTGCTCACCTCTTGACCTTGCTTGTACTGTTACATATATATATATACCTGCTCTTGCTTGTCAAGCCTTATATATATATATATATATATATATATATATATATATATATATATATATATATATATATATATATATATATATATATGTACTCCTGCACGTGAACTGGCCTTGTGGCCTTGAACTTGTGCTCGGAATGTGTGGTGATTTTGTGATTCACCCTGAGCTTGCTTTGCTTTGCTTTGCTTGACTGGTCTTGTGACCCCTTGTTCTCCCCCACTTTGCCTATGGGGGTGTGTCAGAACATTATAGCTTATGCACTTGTGTAGGCTATAGTGGGGTAGCCCATAAGGGGTACAACCCAATTAGGGTTAGTACTTGTACCCAACTCTTTCATAGTTCATTCATTCTCGTTTCGGTTTTCTCAATCGCATCCAATGGAGGGATGCCAGAACATTTCGAAAGGTCATTAGCGAGACCCACGCAAAAACACGTGACACTCACTGAGAAAACACAACCCCAAATTTCCCGGAGCAAATTCCCAAATGTTGGGAGCGCGACGCGAGAAAGTTTTTACACACTCGGGGTCAATTTGCCGAGTGGTTGGGTGCAGAGGTGTCAGACGTGGGAAATTGCCCACGTGTGACACTCGACTGCCAAGCGACAAAAAGTTGGCAGTAACACCACAATCGTGCAACCAGCTGATTGGCTGTGGGTGGGTCGTGCACGTCAGTCGCACAACACCTACACATTGACCCAAAGTTGGGGCCGCGCGCGGCTCGGCAACCCACTTCGGGTCATGCGCAAATTCCGCATGACCCGAACAGTAGCAAGAACAGTGCTCATGACCCGAACCTGGATACGCCCTAAGGTAAGAGCTGCGTGTTTCGGATTCGGAGTGGAGCTGAGGACGTGTTGAAAGTGCAAATATCGCTGGATCGTTTGCATATATCGATCCCCACAATCGAGTGGGCAGATCGTTTGGTGGAATGTGACGACCGCGACGTTGTAACGATCGTGGCTGAAAAATGACAGATTTCTCACGAACAGTGAGGACGTGGCACCTGTTTTCATTTTGCCAGGATCGATCGTGGGAGGGGATCGATGTGCCACTTGTACAGTGTATTGGCGATTTCGCGAATGCCTGGTATCCGTTTTTCGCTAAACGTCGAGAATGTACAGTAAACGGGTACCCAAATTGGTGGCACCTGCAGCTCGCACGATCGATGTGCCGTGGTGCATGTGTAAGGATTGGCGGGAGAGTATATCACGCCACATGTGACAGCCTCGATCGATCGGCGTCGCCCACGGTCGCAGGCCGAAAATTCTTGGGTCGCTGCGAATGGAATTGCTGGACGACCATACACGCTCTGCGCGTTTAAGTGTAATGGCAGCTCCAACCTGCCCGAGCCTGCAATTTCGATCCTGGCACCTATAGCTCGATGTGTCTACCCCACTGCAAATTTGCAGTGTGAGCACATCTGTGTGCCGATCGATATGCCAGGATCGATGTGAGGCCACGATCCTTGTAAAATGAAAACAGGTGCCGCGTCCTGATCAGTCGCATTCTCACACTGTACAGAAATTTTGGCCAGAAAGCGTAGTTACATTGTAGCATGGTTACAGCGTAGTTAATAGACTATCCTATCCGCACATCGATCGCTACTGACGATCGATCGTCTACTTTTACCACGTCCTGAGGACGCGTCACCTCTTTCCAAATTGGTAGGATCAAGGGAAAATCGGTACTACACACCGATTTTGCCGCGATCGGTATGCATATCGGTGTGCTCCATTGCAATTTTCCGGTCGAGGGGCTCCGCCGAGCCACGGGTGACAAGATAGGAATTTTATGGGGCAAAATTGCACGATCGCCACAATTGCACGATCGATCATCGGCTTTAAGCACATTGATCGCGTGAACCCTAGGTGACACCTTCTGGATGACCAATTTACTGTAGATTCTCGAAAGTTCCCGAAGCCTGGAAACATCAAATTTCGCCAACTTGCGAAAGTACTGTACACCAGACACACCGATCGTGTGCACGATCGATCGCCCTCTTGAAGAAAGAGGTGACACGTCCTGAGCGGGAAGGGTGAAGTCATTGCGCGTGTCAGGCGTCTTCATATTTGCTCAAAACCCTACCCAAACGCAATTCATCGTAAATGACACACACAACATCGTACACCACCGCAATAAGTGAATTCTTACCACACCCTCTCGAGCTGATTGAATTCACTGGTCTGACCAGATCGAACGGCCTCTGGATTGGATGCCCTGAGTAGACGGTTGCGATATTCGCTTTGGTGATTGTCAGCTCGGTCGTGCAGAGGTGAAGCGCTGCGCCCACATCTGACTTTGTCTGTCCGTCCCCTTGGCATTTGCCGTTGGATTCAGGAACACGGATTGCACTCGAGGTGTGGGTTTCTCCGCGCTGGGGAGGTGACATCGCCCAGACAGTGATGTGTTTGAGTGGAGCATCACCCCTACTACACCGTCCGCCATATGTCCACCCGCACTGTGTTATGGGACTTCTATCCAGAAAACTATGGTACACAGAATTTCTCAATACAAAGGTACGAATTATTGAAACATGAACCCATCATGC